CAACATTAACTTCTGAGGGTGTATTTATCCACTCAACTGCACCAGGGTGCATTCATTTTATCTGAAGTGGGCAGGGAAAGCTGGGGGAAGTATGCATTTAGAGAAGAGGAAGACAGCTGCTTGTGCAGAGATACGTGCACAGCAGCCAAATTTTGAACTGTGTTGCAAAGAAAGACTGTCCAACTGAGCTGGTGGTATGGGCCTGTTAACCCCTGTCTTCTGACCCCTCCTTATCTCTATGGGGGAGGCGGTCACTGTAAATATTCTTGTATTACTTATGTCATGGTTTACAGATAATACTTAGTGGTAGCAGCCCTGCAAGATGCAAGGCTGAGCATTACTACCTCTCTTTTATAGGTAAAGACACTAAGATAGAAGGGTTAAATGACCTGACTAAGTCCAGAGAGAGTTTCAGATCTTAGTTTACAAGGCCCAAATCCATTCTAGTGTCTCATCATCAACATAACTGCTTTGCAGAGCATAGAGGTATCCCCCCTTCCCTTTTTGTAGCCACACATCCTTTAAGAGAAACCCGGGGACAGGAAAAGTTAGGGAAGAAGGCAATATGTAAGGGAGAAACAGTGGTAGCTTATATCCCTGTTTCACAGAGGAATATACTGTCCTGGTATGTGGCACACACAGCTTCAGACAGATCTAAATGCTTAACACCAGGTTCTCCAGTTGCTGCTGTTCTCTGGGCTGAGCCTGCCCAGAAACAAGCAGTGGTAGCCAGGCAGGAGGTTAACCCTTCCCTGCCTGCTCCTCTGGGACAAACAGCATGGGCAGCCACAATAAAGTGTGGGGGCGGGGAGCAGTGGACCCAATCTGGGCCAGTGTTGGAGGGGGGCAGGTGTGGTGTGTACATTAAGGTGTAGCTTAGAGTAGCTACGCCTTAGTGTAACACGAGCTGGGGAACATGGATCAGAGAATCCTGCCCTGGAGTGCCATAGCTTTGGGCACAGAACCAGTGCTTAAACTTAGTTTCAGGTATTAATGTGCAAACAATCCAGGTGTTAAGAGCTCTAGGAGCCACCCAAAATTACTCTGTAACAAGGCCCTAACGGGTCTGCTTTTAAGCATGCACTTTAGTTAATGTGCATTAAAACTAATACCTCGATTTTGAGGTACTAGAAAAATGGGCCTATCTTAATGCCCATTAACTAAACAGCAGAATGTTTAGTGACACTTTCATAGATTTCATAGACATTAGGGCTGGAAGGGACCTTGGAAGATCATCAAGTCCAGCCCCCTGCCCCAGGGGCAGGAAGTCAGCTGGGGTCATAGGATCCCAGCAAAATAAGCATCCAAATTTCTCTTGAAGGTGTTCAATGTAGGTGCCTGAAACACCTCCGATGGCAGGCTGTTCCAGACCTTGGGGGCTCGGACAGTAAAGAAATTCTTCCTTATGCCCAGCCTTAAATGTTCTTGCAGTAGTTTATAACTGTTCGACCTCATCATCCCTTGGGGCGCTCTGGTGAACAAACGTTCCCCCAGATACTGGTGGTCACCTCTGATAAACTTATAGGTGGCCATCAGATCACCCCTGAGCCTGCGCTTTTCCAGGCTAAAGAGTCCCATAGCTCTCAGCCTGTCATCGTAAGGTCTGTTTTTCTGACCTCTGATCATGCCTGTGGCTCTTCTCTGGACTCTCTCAAGCTTCTCCACATCCTTTTTGAATTGTGGGGCCCAAAACTGGACACAGTACTCCAGCTGCGGCCTCACCAAGACTGAGTACAAGTGGAGAACAATGTCCTGGGATTTGCTTGAAAAGCATCTATGGATGTTAGCCAGCATTTTGCTTGCTTTACTAGCCGCACAGGCTCATGTTCATCTTGTGGTTAACGATGACCCCCAAGTCTCTTTCTTCTGTAGTGCTAGCCAGTGTAGCACTGCCGAGCCTATAAGGACGCTGCAGGTTTTTCCTCCCAAGGTGGAGAACCTTGCATTTTTTGGTGTTAAACACCATCAGGTTCTCGTCCGCCCATTTGCTGAGCCTGTCCATGTCAGCCTGGATCGCCTTCCTGTCTGAGACCTTAATGCTCATTAGCCTATTTTAACGTGCATTAACTAAAAAGCACATTTTTAAGTGATTCTTTAATATTAAAATAGGCTAATGTGCATTAAAGTGCATGTGTAGACACGGCAACTAATCTGTCTGAAGCTGTGTCTATGCGGGGGAATTCACCAACAGATACCAGCATGTTTGTTTTTAAGGCAACATAAGAGCTGCTTATTCTGGTGTAGTTTATAGGGTCTCGAAAAACAAACACATTACAGAGAGGTGAAAAGCAGGCAAGGACTTGCGTGTCAGTGCTGTTCTGCCAATGTCATTCTCCTAGCTCTTTCTCTGCATTAAGCAGAAACTAAACTAGGGCAGGACATTCCTCCATGAAACAGAGATATAAGCTACCATAGTTTTCCCCTCGTGTACCACAGTCTAAGAGTGGGCAATCATACACTTAGGGTGGATAGGTGTAATATTTGAAGTATGTCAAATGTCTTTGAAATGCTTTAAGGGGCTGCCTGTACCAACATACATGCTCTTTGAAATGTTCCAGAGGTGGCTGAAGTGCTCTAAAGCAGTACCCATCAATGTACTTGAGTACTCTTGTGCTCTGGGCAGTGGCACTGCGTGGGCTATGTCGGTGGTTGTGTTACTAGCAGTGGCAGTGCCCCAGCCAGCAGCCCAGCAACTATTTTTATGCCTCTTTCCTGTCCCACAAACTCAGCATCCAGGGCAAGTGCTCATGTCTCAGATTTGATTTTGCTGCAGCAAGTTCTTCACACAATCAGTGCACCTGGCTGTTTATTCACTCACACACAAAACCCCTATAAATTACCTGTGCTATTTTTCTGTAGGCTGGGAATAAAATAAAAAATAAACAAACCAAAAAATAAAATCCCCCTCCTCCCCTGAAAGGAAATTGTTGCTATCTTTTCCACTTTTAAATAATTTGACGACACACTGGTGCTACAGTGTATGCGTCTTTAGACTTCCAGCTCAGTGCTCTGCTGTAAGAACAGTCGGTTTTTAGCTCCATGCTGAGATTCTGTAAAAACTTCCCTGTTCTATGCTACTTTTATTGGTTCTGACTTAGCATGGCTTTTAATCTTTCAAAGACAGAGCTCAATGCCTACTAAACCACCTTTACTAGGAAGCTGTTTAAATATATCATGCTCTGCAGTTGCTAAAGAAGGGCAGAGGGAATAATACTTGAAAACAATGCGATGGTTAATCATTGCACAGTCCTGAGAACTAAAGTTCATGGAGTGTAAGAGGCAGCATGGCGTGTGTGGGTTCTGTTTGCCAGCACACTGCTCTTCTGTAGCACATGAAACACCCCCACAAACAGTAGGCTTTTTCCTGAAAGGATTTCAGGGAAATAAACCAAAGATTATCTTGAATTTCTACCTCCTGCTGCGTCATGCAAGAACACTTATCTCATTGGCTCCTCAAAATTTGCAAATGTGGAAGTTTCTATATGTCCACTCTGATAGGCCATGGAACATCTTCACTAAGCCAATCACATTCTTTCTTTCATTTGCCTGCTCTTATTTCCTTGCTGACTCCAAGCTCACGGCCACATCTCTATGCCTGCACGTTGCTGCTCTCTCGCTGTCTCTCTCTGTGCGTCTCAGTGCAGCAGCAGCTGAAGTCTATGTTCATTGCTAACCTGATCAGCCCAGGATGTGGCTTCTCGTTGACGTCACGCCCAGATGTTTTCCCAGGCCACGCCCCTACGGGGGTCTGAAACACTCAGAGGAGCAATAACGGGGAAAGCTTATTCTACTGTCACAATGCAATGGAAGGGCTAGAGAAACTGCATTTTTGTTATTTTATGGCTTTCTAGAAAATCAGCATCAATTCCCACTTCAAGCAACAAACTGCCAGTGTTAGGATTTTCTTTTTTATCCCCCTTTACTGGACTTTAAATGACTTTAGGGACAAGCCGGGTGTGATCTTCATGAACAAAGTGCATTTATGATAGCTGCTAAATCAACCCTCACTTCTGCAAAGAGATTCTAAATTATAGGAGAGGAAAAGGCTATTTGTATTTTTTTTTTTTTAAAGAGAAAGAGTATTTCTCTCTCTCTCTCATTTTTTTTCTTTTTTTACACGCATGAAAAATGGCAACAGCAGCATATGTGGATCACTTTGCAGCCGAGTGCCTTGTTTCTATGTCCAGTCGTGCTATCATCCATAGCCCCAGAGGGGAACCAGACCCTCGACCTGATGCAGCAGTACCTCTTCCACTTCCCTCGAACGGAGAAGAAAAGTGGGAAGCAAAAGAGACTGGGAAAGACAATGGATCATCGCTTTTTGTGGTGGCCAGGATTTTAGCCGATCTAAACCAGCACATCCCAAACTCTCCTGCCCTTCGGATGGAAAAAACGGAGAGTGTTGATAAAAGAGAAAAAATAAGCCTTGCTCTTTCTCCTGAGGAGTTTGGGGAGGAAAGCGTCTTCGCAGCCGGCAAGCGTGGAGGAGGAAAAGCAGCCACACCTACTAGCCTGGCTGCAGTAAGTGAGCCAAGCCCCAAACAAAGGAACAGACGGGGGAGAAGCCGGGCTGACCCCGAGTCACCCCAGAAAAAGCACAAATGCTACTACGTGGGTTGCGAAAAAGTTTATGGCAAATCTTCCCATCTCAAAGCTCATCTAAGGACCCACACAGGTTAGTTCCTAGCCAGCCAAAGGTTTATTCATTACAGCTTTGTAATAAATAAAAGACCCTCCCCCCCCCCCCCAAAAAAAAAAAAAAAAAAAAAAAAAAGAAAAGAAAAAAGTCTCCCAAACAAACAAAAAACCAACCCTTGTATTTGGCCAGGAATTTGATTTAGTCTTTCAGAACTGAAGCTCAGAACAAGACATTGGGGAATAATGATCATAATCATATTTGTAAAGGTAACATTATTATTCTTTTCAATGCTGTAAAGTCCTCCAGGATGGGATGCTGCCTGTATCTTTAGTAGTGACCCCTCAAGATCTGTAATCATTACCTGCCAGCCACTTCTTGCCCAGTGACTAACTCTCCTCTCCACTGCTGCTTACTCCTGCATCTTTCTTGCCCATTGCTCCCAACACTCTGCTTTTGGCACTGCCTTGAAATCAACAGGCCCCTACTGCCTATGAAAACTCTAATATCCATATATATCACTTTTAAATTAAACCATTTAGAGGCACTTGAGTGAGTTTGTTCTTTTTCTTTCTATGCGGGAGACACTTGAATTTGGAGTGACCCAGAAAGGGAATGGGGAAAGCTGAGAGAAAGTCAGAGGGAACATTTATCATAACAAGAGTAGAGGGAGAGGGCGCACAGAACAAACTCCAAGGGGCCATTGCAGCTGGGCCAAATCTAACTTACAAACATACGTTTGTAAACACAAACCACGGGCTAATTTTGATTAGTGTCTGTGAGGCTTTATTTTCTGTTAGCCTTCACATAACCATGGTTATTTTATCCAATGAGCTGTTCACAAGAGCAAAAGCCTTGCAAACACTCATGCAAAAGCATTTGCACATATACCTGTGCCTGAAGTGCTAACATGGCCATCTTGAAATGAACTGACCCAGTGACCTACCAGCCCTGTTCCTGTTGAAAACAGTTTCAGCCACAAGGTCAGAGGCCCTACAACCTTTAGGTAACCAATTCCTCCTCAAAGTGCTCACTGCAAGACAGAGATCAGACCTGTGTGCACCCACTTAAGCCATTCCCCAAGTCAGTTCAAACAGATTTGGAAAAATCCAAGCCCATTCACAAATAAGTCATGTAAGGAAAAGATAAAGAGCTAAATGCTTTCCGCAAATTACAGCCCTGAATAGCTCTAGTTTTGAGGCAGACAGCCTTGGCCACACCCAGAGTTCCCATTTAATATAACCCAGCTTTCCCCGCTAGGATGTCAGATGAGATGAGATGAAAGCCCTTCTGGCTTTTGGGTGTGTTTTGCTTGTTGGGGGAGGAAGGTGCTGCTGGGTGGTAAACTGGCTGCAGGTAAGAGGGGGAATATTCCCGGTGCGAAAGGGATGGCATACGCCTGGCACCCCAGCTGCCTGCCTTGCTTTGCATTGTGCCTTGCAGCAGATTTTGCTCCCTTAATGGGTGCAAAAAAGGTTTTGCTGCTTGATTTAAGAGAAGAATCTCTATTAACCCTCACTCTTCATTCCCTTATGCTTGGCCTTTGCTTTCCTTTTAAACACAAAATACTGCAAGGTCCCTGAGGTCACAAGGCAGCTTAGAAACCAAGAAAGGGAGAAGAGGAACTCCTGTCTCTCTGATGAAGAGAGCAGGGCTTGGCTGTGCCTGCCCTCTGGGGAGAGGGAGGGCAGGGAGGGGGTGGAGGACGTCATTTGGGGCGGGCTGGAGAGCTGGAGTCATTCAGGGACGCTGGCTTTGCTCCAGATTCCCTGCATATATTTTTTTACTTTCCGCTTCCTTTAATTTTTTCAGCACTGTAGGGTTTAATTTGCTATTGCCATAGCAAGTGTCACTGCAAGAGAGAGAACATGCGTGTGTGCAAATTAGAGCAAAAGAAGGGAAGAGTAGTTTGGAACTGGGAGTGGCAGGACCCCGAGGGACTAGAGCTTCTTTGTTTAAAGCTTCCCACACAGACAGAAGAGACATGAGAAAACAGACCTGCCAAGTTCCCTTCGCTGGCCGCAGGACAGACCTGACTGTTTCCTTCTCCATTTGGAGTTAGTTTTGGACAGGATTAATGCCTCTCACTTTTTAAATACAGAATTTTCAATTAAGACATTGAAAATCCACGTTTACAAAAAATGAAATACATATCGCAACAGGCCCAAAATAGCTGGGTTAGGCCAGAAGCTCAGCATGTAGAACTGACAGCCATTGCCAAGGAAGGTGAACATTTATTTTCATAGTAGGTGAGTTATAACAGGGAGCTCAGACCTCCTATATTTTCTGGTTTACCATACCACAGTTTACCTATTTGTCAAAGAGGTAAGGCAATGCTTACTTATCTTATCAGGGTGTTGGAATTACTTTGGGAGAACCTCTCATGGAAGGTGCTCTAAACCATTTTCTCAGTAACCCCCACAGCTGCTCACCAAAAAATTTGATCACAGTTTTTCGAATGACTAGAGTCTCTCGCATGTTGGATAAAACTGGAATAGCTTGTATTCATGTGCAAGCTGAAAGTTAAGAATAGCACTTCAGGCTACAAGTGGGATGTCAGCGATTGTGACGACGTGTATGTGTACAGTACAGCTTGTAACTTGCTTGAGAAACGTGTTTGTCACAGCCTGCTACTGTACTCATAAATCAAAGGATTCTCTCTACATCCAAAACACGTGGGGGAAGGGTGACTAGATTGCTGAGGTTATATGTTATGGGCAAGGAGATGCAGAACCTTTCGAATGCTAGTGGTTCAAATCCAGCCCAGATCAGTAATGATTGAAAGCTGGCATTATCCAATGGCCATTTGTTGCCCTGCAGGAAATACTCTTTGGTGGTCTCTGGACAGTTTCTAGTGGACAAATGTCCAGAACAAGAACTCACCACAACTGCTACTAATTAACACTTGTATTCTGAGTAGGGGGAACAAGAACTTTCACCCTCAGGTCTTGTTTGCCATGGAGAAGTTCAGAAACAACATTCCCACTAGTGCTTTACTCAGTCTAGCTATACCGGTGTTAGTGCTGCCAGGCACCTGACAGTAGCAAAACCTTTTATGCCTTCTGGCACTTCTACCACAATGTCAATTAACCTATCTCATGCCTGTGGATGCCACATGACCAAGAGACTCTAGGGTTAGGCCGAAAATATTGTTTGCTTAAATATTTGCCATTCTGCTGACTCCCTGCCCCCACGCACTTTGTTTTATGTTTAATCTTTCCACCCACTTCTATCTGGATGCCATGGAGTTTTATATAATCACAGGCCATAGAGTCTTGAAGTCTTAATGTGGACTAGGAGGTTATATTTAGTGTAGGAGTCTATATTTTGAAGTCCAAATTCCATGCCACATGAAATCCCACAGACTTCAAAAGCTGTGCGATGATTCACACAGATGTGTAAGTGTCTGACCTCAGTCACTGTGATCCCTTCAACACAAAAACCTACCAAATACTCCTGTTTGGCTTTTTAAAGATGTTACCTCCCTAAACCCCAGAAAATTCTAATACAGAGGATTTATGCAGACAAAGGGAGAAGTGGCTGCCTGGCTACCTGGCTGAGTTTCTTGGTCATTCTTCTTTAAGGCTAGGTACAGTCAGTCAAAAAACCCAAGGCTGAACTGATTCAGTCTTTGCAAGTTAGTCTGTTTGGCAATCGTTGATCCTTCCGGATCGTGGTGTATGCATGAGAAGTCACCCAGGCCTTTGATACGTATGCCTAGGCAGGAGTTGTTTTTGGAGGAGTGGAAGCTGTCTAGACCTTCCATTCCCACTTTAGGTGACTGAGACAGAATCCAAACACCAGACTGGGTCTAGATGTTTGGTGCCTCCATAGCTGTATAAGCATCTGGGAATTGTATTTTGTGGCTTTTGTAGTATTTTGTAGCTGGGAAAAGCATTTTGTATAGGCATCTGGGAATTGAACCTGGGTCTCATGTGTAGCAGACAAGGATTCTACCACTGAACCACAAGGAACAACTCAGGTTAGTCTAAGCTGTACAGATTAAATTTAAACAGAAGTGAACAGACATTTACCTTTGATTCAAAAAATGCAGCCACATGCCCGGCCAGAAGCCGGGGTGGGGGGTGCTAGAGCACAGCTCTTTAGCTGTGCGTTCACTTCCTCTTCCTCCTACCCCTGAGGTCTCTGGGATTTGCAGTGCACAATTACAGCAGCAGGACTCTGCAGGGTTGCTTATCAGTTCCTCTTCCTGCTTCCAGGTGCCTCTGGGATTTGTAGTCCACAGTTGCAGCCAGCAGGAAGTTTGAGCGGGGGAAGGAGTGTTTAACGCCCCCTCTCTGGCCCCAAACCCCAGCCAGGGTTTGCCTGGGGTGGGGGCAATCCCCCACTGCTGTAGACTGGGCTGCATCCCCAGCTGGGTTTGCCCTTCCCCCCTCTCCCCCCACCCCACCCCCTTGTCAGCCAGCCCTCACTGTTCCGGCTTGAGAGCAGAAGACCAGGGCCAACGCAGCATATCAGAGCACAGCCCAGCTTAGAGCTGGAAAGCATGCTGGGGGACTCTGATTTAACTTGAAGGGTTCTAGGACAGAAGTTTCATAAGCCAGTTTGACCTAAATCAGTTCAGTCTGACACTACATTCAACCAAGTTTAGCTTAAACCAGTTTCAGCCATTTTGAAACTGGTTTATGTGTACCTTCTGTCCCTAGGCTAACAGAGGAAGGGCTTTAATTCAGTGCTTTGAGAAGTGGTGTTGAGCGTTGAGTCTTAAATGCAGTGCTTTGAGAAGTGGTGTTGAGCGTTGAAACCCACTGGAGTCTAGGGCCTTTTCTACGCTGCCACCATGAAGCTACTCAGCATGCACCAAATCCCAGAAAGCTGGGAGTGGCCCTCTCAGATATTCTGTCAAGTACACAAGCAAAACTGGGAGAAACAGGCCTGGCGTGCTTCACAGCAGCGCTCCCGGGCATGGCATCTAGGCAATGTAGACAAGCTCTAGGGTTCCATAAGAAACCAGTTTGCCTCTCTTGCATGAAGGGAGCTAATCTGGTGCGCTCTCAGCTGTCTGGCCTCTTGCTGTTCCCTGGCAGCATTGCTCCCTTTCAAGGGGTGTTGCTATTATCCCTCTGTCAAATCAGCATCTTACCACCACTCCAACAGGTGGGAAGTTAGTGTGAAATCCATCCTACTCCCATATGCAGTATAAAAGGAGAACAGCCTTTCAGACATCAAATATTTACACATTTACCTGAGCATGTTGATATAAGGTAGGGATATAGAGCTACCTAGAGCTGATCTGTAGTATTGCTGTGATAATGCTGGGTCACAGATTGCATGGTCAGCCAGTCTGTTTTATTACAAAGTTCTGCAGTGGAATTGTAAAATCACCAACACAAAGATTTAAAGAGTCACGCTGCAGGTGAAATGCATAATGTTCCCTGTTACATTCTCCTTAGGAGCCCAAGTATTGGGTCAGCTCTGGAGCTGCTCCACACTGCTCTGATGGTAGAAAACAGCCCTAAACTTGTTTTGGTTGGCCTTTTGATGACTATCCCTCTGTGTAGCAATCTTTGGGTTGCCTCTGTAGCAGTGTATTTGCTACCTCCATTCCTGGCCACCAGAAAAATGACATTTCAGTAAGAAAATGAATGTGACCAGAGTTCTCCTGAGCCACAATGATCCCCAGCCCATAGAGTGGTTGAGTTTCTACCTCTTTCTTTCTGACCTTACGCAGCTACATGAAAGTTCAAGCAGTCTTGGAGCTCAGTTTCCACCCAACTTCAGGAATAGCAAAGCATAAAAGTGACTTAAAACCAACTTGGACTCCCTCTGACTAGCTAGAGGCTCTAATTCACAGATCATATCTGGATGGAAAAGGCCATGTTATTTGGTGTCTACTACCCGTATAACCTAATGAGTACATATGAAGCATCTGCATTTACACAGGCAAAAAGGGTTATTTGACTTTCATTTCTTTTCACTTATTTGCATACCTTCATTTACATGGTGTCCTTATGAAGTAGGCTGTTCCATTCACCCTCCGTTCTAAAAAAACAGGACTTGTCTGGCTTGTAATATTTCTTTAGTGCTATGTACATCTGTGCAAGTTAATGAATACGTTGGTCGATCTTAAAAAAAAAAAAAATCAACTGACTACAAAGGAGACAGACTACAAAGGAGTTTAATGACAGCATGGAGGTTAAATTGGACAAACTGAGTGAACTACTTATACTGTTATCCCCTAACGCCTAAAAAAA